AGGCCCTCGAGTGGAACCCAGATGGGAAACGACAAGTTGGGCGTCCCAGCTGAGGGTGACGTGGAGATGGTGCGAGGAGGAAATGGAAGTTGATGGGCAGTCGTGGCTCCAGATTTGAAAGACAGTAGAGAGGGGAGTGAAATCGCGACGTGCTACTGAAGCCCTATGTTCCACTACGAACCCAAGGGATAAATAATATAATAATCGAAACTAGGGTGCACCACTATCCAAACTCATACTTAATCATGTAACCTGTCCTCAACGGATTCAAGTTTGAACATCCATTTCTACTCTTTGCATTGCCACTTGACCTGTTAAGACTGTTCATTTCTATGCTGTTACACCTTAATCTATGTTTCAATTTACGTTATATATGTATGTATGCATGCATATTCTTATATGTTGTTTAACGGTATATAAAATCAAGTATGTAGAGTATCCAGCTGACGAGTACTACTGAAATTTATAAACTCATTGAATCCTGCTTTTTTCTCACTCGTCGCTTGTTTTAAACCATTGGAAGGATTAGAGATGCTATGATTTGAACACAGCCAACTTCAAGGTTAGTGTCAGCGTGTGAAACTAAATCCCATACTAATCTCCTTCCCTAAACTGTGTAGGTGCCACAGCACGTACACTGAAAGAATAGTTTTTCGAATGTTGACTAGTCTGAAAAACTGTTGTGAACACTACATCTCAAAAGTCCAAATTTGTTCAGTTTCTTAACAACCTGCTTGTGGTTTATTTGAAGCCTCAAGTGTAAACACAACAAACACTGTCTGCATTTCTGCTGTTAATTCACTATCTCCTTTACTCTGCTTTTTTGACCACATTATTGACAGTGGTTGAACCACTCCTTTGTTAATTTCTCTTCTCTTACCCTACCAAACTTTGTGTACTTACTGTACAACGTTTGTCGAATTTTCACGCAGAAATAACGTATTGTTTGTCTTGTTTTTATCCTTTTTATTTCTTTCATTATGTTATATATCTGTGTTTCTTAGGATAAACATTAACCTGAAAGCACATCTATTATGCGAATCCGCATGTTTACTGTCGTTTCGTTTTTCAGCTAACAGACCTTGTTTTAGAGGATTGTATGCAGGTGAAGAGGAGCTATGAAATAAAAAAAAACCATTTTCTTCTGAAAAAGGATTGTTTAGATTGCACTGTGCGAAATGTTTAAGCACTAACCTCGTCATCATATTTATAAAGTAATCGAAGCTCATTCAGTCATCAAACGTTTACGTAGATGTAATCCGACGACATTCGATCATCAAAGCGGGGAGCTCAGTCTAATTTTTGTAAGAAAACCCATTTTCCACCATTAAAATTTCTTAACATGCACAAAATCAAAGAACATTCAAAGTGTTTTTAAGTGGGCTATAGCCATAGTGAGAGATCAGTGATTGCTTCTGTTCAGACAAACAAATCTTGTATAAGCCTTTCGGCATCACACTTATGCCTCAAAATCATTCTGAGGAATTCAGACGAATCAAAAGACCCCCAAGTAGGCTACATAAATCTCACACCAAAATGTGAATATCGTGAACCACTGACAGAAATTACATTGCTATTTATTGACATACTTGTTATTCTCCGTTGTTGTTTTTTTGGATCGGATTGTCTGACCTCTATTGCAATATGGGCTCCTATGCGGATGCCTCGATATTGCCTGAATGTTAATTATGATAATTTGGTTGGTTGTGGCTAGCAGAAGAATCCAGGACGCGCGCCCCGTCCTATTGGGACTCGTCAGCCGAATGTACCTTGGCGTTTGAAGCGATGGGCACGAGGTTCGAGTCTCAATGGGAACAACACCACTGGGGTGCAGGTACATCCAGCTTACAAGTCCCAAATAGGATGGAGAGCGCGTCCTGGATTATTTTGCTAGCCACAACCAACCAAATTATCATAATTAACGATCAGGAATTATATTCTTTGAACAAAAGCTTGTATTTCATAGCATTTTCCCACTTTATTCCGCTACCGCTGAATGCGAAACTGGTCCGCAAAACGGAATACTTATTCATGAAGTACTAAAAATTTAAATAACGGGAGTGATTGGTCTTATAATTGCCACAATATCCGATTATCCTTCATCACATTCTCAGATCCTTAGGATGCACAGTACAGTAATATCTCTGGTCCCCTTTTCTGCAAATGCAAAGCTACTACATTTTAAAAAAGCAGCTTCTTATTCTTTTGACGGTGTTTTAGATTGCAATTACATGTCAGGTAAGTACATGTTTGTTTCAGACTAAACTGTTACTGAAAAGTCATTTATATTAAAGCATCTATTGTCACTGTTTATTGTGGCTTCACTAAAAGGATAGCGAAATTGAATAATCAACTCTGCCGTCTCATTTTGAACTCCTCCAAATATAACTAGCGCTTTGGTTGAATTAACATCAAGGGCAGCAAGCTGCTAAAAGCAACAAGCTCTAATTGCTAGTTCTGCATGTGTCCTTAAATGTAGTTACGTCAAGCGAATTGTGCGACACGTAGTTAACCAATGTTGGTGAGAGAAAAGAAATGATACACTAGGTTATCCTCATGAACTCCTTCTGATATCCTGGCACTCAATGAACTAACATGTGCAGTAAATCTCGAAAAGTCTGACACATTCCGAACAGTTCAATGCAATAATTACTCAATAATCAGGTCTGACTGTAGATATGCTTTATAACACACTTTGAATAAATCTTGTGCATTCATTTACTTCCCAAACCTTATGTTAGTGGATTTGACCATATGAAATGTTGTCATTTTGAACACCGAAAGTAACTTTATGCTTCGGTATTGTTTCTATCATCCATCTAAAACATGAGTTTTTATCATGAAGTATAGAATTCATCTGGTGACAGTGAACTGAAGTCTATTGTACAAACGTCTAATAGTTTCCGAAAATATTGGCGCATATGTACGCCGATCAACCGCAACCCACGGATCCCGTAAGAGGATATAAATAAATTCGGCCATCACATACCTTCTTCACTGTTCGGCGGTTGATCACATTTCCAAAATGAAAACCGAATATGTAGAGTTTAGTCAAAATGACAACATGGGTGTCATGTTATGAAGGCAGAGTATGCATTTCTGAACCACGAATATCAACTTAATAAAGTTTACAAATGGTGCTAAGCAATGAAAACTTCATGAACAGATCTTCATTGCTAGTTCTAACATTCGAAACAGACAGGCAGTCAGTTTCATAAGGTTATGTTTCTTTGCATACATGTCACTTTAACAAGTGGCAATAACCAACTATATAAATAACCTAGAAGGCAATGAATCATTACATAAGCGATAACTTAAACAAAACAGGATTGTAGGTTAATGTTTCTTGAAATATTCCTTCTAGATTTATTTATAAATCAGTAAGTTAGATAGTAGACATTCCAGGTACAGGTATTCCATTATATCCTTTCGAAAAACAAAACAAATTTTTAAATGGGTCTCGAACTTTGCACTGAGTTAGATTGCTTATTCAACATGCTTTACATATTATTGTACCAACAAATCTTATATGCAGTTACAATCTCCTGATTTTCAAATCTGTTGGTTAGTTTCCGATATTTTTAGAAAAATGAACCTGAAGGCAGTAAGTGAAATTAAGAAGCTCTTTATGTCTCGCGAAGTTATTCCCACACTGTATTTGGACAGAAGTAAGGTAACCGTGTAGAATGAATATGCATTCTCAGCCCGATCAACTTTTATTTCAAAATGCGCAGAGAAAGTATTAGATGTAAACTTAATTTTTACACAGACAATAGGTTAATAAATAGATCAATTTACACTCCTTTTTTCATGCATCGCAATCGAAGTTCCATATGTGGGTTTTCAAAATCATTTTTAAATGTAATCCGGAAACGTCGATTTATTTTTTATGCAGGAGCTTCGGGCAATATCTGCAGTGCAGTATGCCAGTTATAGAAAGAACGATGTTCAGAGCAGTTGTGGTTAAGCGGAAATAAGATTCACTTAATTATTCTAGCACAATTTTTCCCAGCACTTCGAAATATCACTCGATTTCTGCTTTTTTCAGATTCATAGTTCATTATGCATAGTGTTATCGCATTTCAGGAGCATATACTGCTTGTTTTACAGTAATAACTGGCAGGAGATTTGCTGGACTACACGAAAGTTAAGAAAAGGGAAAGCACGTTAATTGACTTGCATTTAAAAATAAGACTATCACGTCGCATCATGTCATGAAGATAAATAGCTTCGGTATAGTTTTACTCTCGTGTTATGTTTATTTTCATTTTAAATATTTTAAGTATAAATACCTACTTGTAAACTAGCTTATTTCAGCCCAATTTGCTTAAAGGACTACTAGGCTTATTCTGTTCGAGTAAAGATAAGAATTTACATACTTTCATGTAATTGGGTAAATAAAGAAATCATCTAATATCTTAAACGAAATAAAGTAACCTAAAATTTACTACAAAAACACTGCTACATCAAGTGCCTTCACCAGAATTCTTTTCTTTATTGCTTAGCTGAGAATTTCAAGCTGTTTAAGATTAGAAGATGGAGTTCGTTAACTAGAACTTAGGTTATGTGCTAGAGGTCTATACTGCCATACAAGATTCAACATAATTACTGTATATGCGGTTAATTAAGCCTAACAAAAGAAAAGCTTATCCAGCATAACATTTTTTCTACTATGCAGCTTACTATAATTTCAGTTCACAGTTTATGCAGTGAAAAACTAATGAAGAACGGACACAAGATATGTCGTTTTTGTTTAATTTGTTTTGGTTTCTTATAGTGTATGGAAAAACAAGGAACAACAAGTAAATTTAAAGGAAGCTGAAATTTCACGTTATAAGTCAGTCAAAACCTGAAGAAATCTGATAGGTTGACATTGCTATGTAACTGAAAAATAACATAATAAGTATGATAGCTTAATAATAAAATTGTAAATATCATGATTCATTGAAAAATGACGTTCAAATGAAAATATGCTGAGTGTCACTACTTTCATTTTCCTTTCACTCTTCTTCTTCTTCTTCTTCTTCCAAAATCCCCTGTGTAGCACTAGGGTCATAATATCCAACACGCAGGGTTGGACATGCGGCAGAACAACAGTTGCAAATATTGCAATGTTTCGGCATTTTTCTGTCTTCAATCCAAAAGGAAATAACTAATGCTGTTGGATAAAGTCGGAGAGATAATATCAATGTTTAATAAAAATGCAACAAACAAGAATATGAAAAATCAAATTATAAAATATTAATGATATATCAGAAGGTCGGTGTTTATTCGAACGCAATTGCATCCAACTAAAAAGTTAAAAGTAATAGTGCTAAAAACAAACTCAATCGGTTTTTATTCTTCGATGTCTAATTACTAGACTGAAAAGATATATGCGTTTCTATGCACTTAAAACATAATAATTCGTATAGATACATATTCTTTCTAATTGAAAGTAAATGATGCAATATCTTAAAATAATGAGTTGGGAGTTATATTCGCACTGCAAGCACCAAGTAAGCTTAATAGTGAATTCATGTACAAAGAAAGTTCATGTTAAATACAGTGATAAAATAATACAGAGGGGAAAATCGGACATTATATCTGAGTAGTTTCGTTCACTTACATACAAGATCTTCAGATTTTACAGATTGTTAACTTATCAGATTTTCATAAAGCTAATATCTTCCATATATATATATATATATATATATATATATATATATATATATATATATATATATATATATATATCACAACTGTAGATTTCACGTAAAGGTTGTTCAGAAAAACTCAAAAGTAATATTTTTTAGTAACAAAATTCGAATTTCAATTACTTCCAATAATTTATTGTCTCACGTGCTTGGTATTACGACGTTTAGGTATCGTTTGTCATTAAGTTACTGTGAGATATAAAATCATTGATAATAGATCATATTAAAGAGGTGTCACAATTAATCCATTCTAATGAACTTTAACTACTCCATTTAAAACTTGGGATAACATACGACGATGGAGTCAACAATGATTATTATGACAAGGGACTTGCTCTTAGATTTTAAGTAACATGTAACCCATTATTGAAATTACCTCCAATATTTCTTCCTTTCAGAAAAGGTGACAAGTCATAATAAACGTTTTCCTTTTTAAAAGGAAGACTAGTAAAAGTAATTAATACAGTATGCATCAGGAAATAAATAAACATCTTACCAAGAATGCACACACATCCACAAGCAGAAAACTGTATCAGATATGCATCTTGTGAAGTTATAAAAGTTGAAATAATTGCACAGAGAATACTCCCAACCGTCTTGAAATATAACAAAAGTAGGAAAAAATGTATTCATCTTTATCTAGAGAATTTAACATTAGTTTCAAATAAAATATTCACATAAAATTGGTCTAGAAAAAGTAGGGAAATAATTCAAATAAAGTTTATTTACAGGCCTGAGATATCTTTCAATTTGGAAAATCATTTCTTTGGTTATTATAAGATTCAAACCAATGTCATTAGCTGCACAGTAATTAACTGACTGAACCACACAACCCAACTGTTGACTAAGTCTCAGGTTTACCCCCCCCCCTCACTAATTAGGTTAATAAATGATAAGTAATTGTACAGACCGATAATCTGAAGGATGCTGGCAGGAAAAATGTCACTACTTACATTACATTCCAACTCTAGACATCCTTTTCACAAATATTGTTTAGCACAGACTTTTGTTTAACAGTTATAGAATAACATTCGCATCGCAAAGAAACATAACTAATCTCATTTCGTTCACATTAAATGAATTGAGATTCTTTTCAGATCAAATACAAACACCTAACTTAGGCAGATACAAATTAGCTAAAATACATGACTCCAATGGGCTTCATTTAGTTGTATCTAACTTATTCCTTGCCCTTACATTGACGATGTAGGAAAAAAGTTAGAAAATCATCATCCGTAGCACTAAATATTCCGAATTATCTGAAAATTGGCATGACAAGAAGTTTCAGCTTTGAAAAATGGATAAAGTGGTTAAACGTTCGGAATGACTTATTCGTTGGTCTGTAGGAAATCTGCTATGCAGAGATCCTGTGTAACTGTGGGGTTAAATTGCTATACACAACAAAGCTTCCGTCTGAAGACGCATTTTAACAAACACTGTGTGAACTGACAGGACATATTAGACGCTATACGAACTAAGCATGGCTTCAACTTAAATTTATAAGTCAGAATGAGGTTGTAGAAAAATAATCGTTTGTTATATCATATCTAATGCATTACTGATTTGCTCTTTACATCCTTTGCATCTTGCAGGCGTCTTTTAAATGATTTATAATTTTTCCTGAATTTAATTACATATTCGTAACAATGAATTGTTGAGAAGGCATACTTCTAAATTATGAAGCCTATGCCAATTAAAAAGGTAGCTAACTAACTTTACTCTACAGAACCACTGTTACACAACACATAAAAACATCCCAGCTCTATCTGTATAAGTGTGACAACTTTGAACGTCAAATCACAAACTCATCGGCTATTCGATAGCTATCTCTAAAATCAGCAAACTTGATGCTTTAAGCTAATTTGAAAATTAATAAACGTTCAGGTACAAATTTCAAATTCTAGCAAAAATTAGTGACTTTTGGATACAAATAGGCACTATGCAACATCCATTTCGTAAATATTTCTATGCTCATTGCGAGATTTCCAATGCTGAATGAGATTAGCGATTCCAGTTAACCCATACATTTCAACTCATAATCTTTGATCTTGAAAATTTTGATATATTCGTCACAGTACACTACTGAGACTTACAAAATAAGCATTTTTTTACTCCACTTCTTCATTAAGTACAGTTTTTTGAATCACACTCATAAATTATTAAAAAAACTCAAGAATCACCAGGCAGGATACGCAGTAAGTAGGTATGCGTTAAAGGAACCAAGTATTTCTGTATCTTATGACACATCTTCGTTATCCCACTTCTCCGATGCTTTTAAAATTCTACACTGAACCCAAACGGTTGTTTTCGTATAATCTTACAACAATAATGCATCCTATGTTGGCATCAGCAACTGTAAACCTTTAGTTTTCTAAAGTCATTTGTTCCAGCTGCTGATTTGTAATCAGAAACTGGAGTAGACTTAATTTATATGTCGTGCAGGTCCTTTGAAGCTGCAACCAAAGTGCAGTCTAGTGAATTAATTTTAAAATAGGCATGGATGTATCAGAACTGTTATTGAAATCGAAAGATTTAGTAAGCAACATATTTTATTCGTATGTTTTGGGGGTACCCGATGAATAGTGGGTATTAGATACTCGTAGAAACTTATTAAACGAATTTAGAGAGGCCAATAAAGATGATGTATGTATGGACTTGGTATAACTGCGTGAAGGTCCAAGTTGCCACACCTGATATTAGTATATCGAGCGAGAATGCATCGAGATAAAACACAAAGAAATAAGGAAGAAAGGAATCAAAAGTGAGATTTTAGAAGATTAAGTATTTTGGCAAGACAGTATTCGTCATCTATAGAATAGAAATTATTCAGCAAGTAAAACAGAGTCAATATATGTAGTCCGACTGGAGTCAGACCACAAAATGTTTTCATAACTTACAAATGCACTGAAGACACAACCATAGTTCACTGCCATATTCAAAGGTCCGAAGAGAGTTCCAGTAGCTGCAGGTTGAATGACAAAGACACCACTCAATGAGAAGAACAAGATAAACACCCAAATAGCGTAAACAGCTTTCAACCCATCTCCTTTCAGGGCTCCAATATGTGGGAATGTCAATAAAACTATTGCCAAACTGTGAACATGATTGCCATTGATATCTGAAATTGAAAACGATTCTGAATAGTTTTACGGTTTGAAAATTGGAATAGATATGTTTTACTATTTTTTTTACCACAGTGATCTGCTGGGTATTGTTAAACCAATCATCAAGTTATAATGTTCAGTCTTCGTATGGTGTGTATACATAATTATTTCCCACACATAAACTTTACCTGGCTCTTATGAACAATAGGAGGATACGTATAAATAACATTTATTATACCAAGAACAACATATTCTCAAAAAATAAAATACTTGAAATTGAATTAACTGTTGATATCTCTTCACAATCTCCTAGTTTATGATCTGCTCATCTTAGCAAAGTCTAATTCACAATTTATTGATTCACATTTAGGTTTATGAAGTGGTACTGGTCATAAAGAGTTTTGAGAGTCCAACTGCTAACTTTGTTCAACCGCTTTTTTCATTCTTTTATGTTAACAGTTGATGGATAATTTATCTAAACAAAAGATATTTCGATTTGATTGTATTATATGACTTATGAAAATCAGAAAAACAGAAATGAACACTGGTTACATTTTTGATAAACTTTAATATTCATCTATTCAGCTTTATTTTCAAATTGTATTTATTATTCTCCAAGTTTTTTTCAATCTATTTTTGGCTCTGTAGTAAGTTCAAGTAACAATGAGCAGTTAATTTAAAACCTTTCTACCAGTTAATTTATAGTGCATGATTTCACTGAATTACTCCTCAATCATAAATATTACTTATACTTGCAGCTGTCAAGCTTTGCTACTTAATGTAGGCGGAAAAACAGTTACATTCAACCTAAATCTTAGAGGAACTCGCTAAAGATATGCGCTTACTTTTGAAGATATTTATCTAGAATGCCATCGTAGCAGGCAGGACAAATCTTCCTTCATCAATCGAATAGATAGTTGCTTCGTGTGTGCCTATCACCGCTTTCACAGCATTATATGCTTGTCGGTATGATTCAGCGTTACATGAAAACAAAAGCCCCAACCTCAAAAATTGAATAAAATTCCTTCAGTTTAAAAAAATCTAATTCAGAAGGTAGGTAGAGAAATTAATGATTCTTTATTATATTTGCAAAGACTTAGACAAAATGCTATTTGAATGTACCCAAAGAAAGCAAGTGAGAAATGAAATGAATTGGCTAAACATCTGATAAGTCAAAGTGACAAAGAGGATAGTCCGGACTTATTGGCCACTGACTGTACAATGTACAAAATCTACTCATAAATCTAAAAACAATTTTGAGCGGTAGAGATTTCCTTATTTTAATGACTAGTAGATAATCGCATATTTGTCATTTCACTTGAAGTCTGTTATTTTTGTTTCGTTGATAATACTGTTGCATTTTGCGTAATATCCGAAAAACAAACTAATATGAAGTTGTGCCCGCAACAGTGACCAAGTTCTACTCTAGCATTCATTCAAACCTTTTTTTTGAAAATCAACAGTGTAACTAAATATTGTGTTTCTGCAAAAATATCACTTTTTACGAAGTGATCGAATGAATTCTGAACATGCGTCATTGTGTACCAAACTCATCATGATTTTTCATGGTCAGAAAATAAAGCTTCTGAATGGCTCTTTATAAGTAACTATAGTGTTTTCAAGCTTTCGAAATGAATATCACACCAACATGAGCTCGAAGTGCCTATCACTCCAATTCAACTGAACACTAACTAAGATAACATGAAAACAGTAAGGAAAAGCATCTTCGGTCTTTACAGATGTTCTACTGACAAACACATTTTTTTCAGGTTGGCTTTCATCATAGAATGACATCAGTTGGAGAAAAATTGGGAGCCTGAAAACACTGGACAGCTGTTTCGTCCTGGTGCCGGACTCCTCGGCAGTGTGCACCCATGACCCCACCAGGGATCGAACCCATGACATTCAAGTCCCACAGCCAGCACGTTACCATTCAGCCAGTGCGTTGGAATACAGCGGTCCGTACTTCCTACCTTTGTCAGTTCTAGATATAGTGCTACCTCCAATGCCACCAATGAGTTACTGTCTCCATGTTCAACTTAGTTGATCCCATAGGTCACGACTTCTCATTGTAACTTCGGGAATCACCTCTTGAAGCTAGTTACCAATGAGCACTAGAATAGTTCAGTTTCAAGGTTTGTGGGGATTTATTTATTGAAATATGAGCCACTGGATTCCAACTCGGTGGCTAAATGGTAACGTGCTGGCCGCGAAACCTGAGAATCCTGAGTTCGAGCCAAAGCAGGGTAATGGGGATGCAGTGCTGAAGAGTCACATATTAGGACAAAACAGCTGTCCAGTGCTCCCAGGTTTCCAATGTTCCTCCAACTGATGTCACTCTATGATGAATAACAACTTGAAAAATCAATAAACCTCCACAAACTCCAAATTGAAATACAGATACTTTGTAAATGTCTTAACCATCACGTGGATTTCAGCGATTTGTTTTGATAGGTTCACACAGTGCATTTTGCAAAGGAAGCTTATCAAACTTTAGGTAAGACTACAAGTCATGGAATTTATAGTGTAGTGCTACAACCATTACTCATAATCTGTTCCAGACAACCGGTGGGTAAAAATTTTGATTTATTCAAATAGTTTTGAAGTAAATGATGCTCTAAAGAACGGCCCTCAAGATATGCTTGAATTATTAAAGTAATCGTTTATAGAAAAATGTCACAGAAGAGTTTGTAAAACATCAGTTGTAATCTTAAAACTTGTCAGAAAATATATCACATTGACAGCTAAAGTACTTAGCAACCTAACTGTACTGCAGCAAATTGCAATGCAGTTAAATGCACTTACTAAAATTCGCTTTATCGTTGACAACAATCACACTAATCGGTAACTGTGTGGTTGCTAGTTGGGTAATGTGCAAAACATAAACTATCATGTGGCGGTACTTATAAATCAATATCCCTCCTCGGGTCCCCTATGTAGTCAGCCAATCTACCTGTGCGCATCCAAATAATTAAACATACCATTATACTTTAAACCTCAGAAATTCGGTACCCTTTAGTTGAAAGTGTTTTACGATATTCTGCGACCAGTCACTGATGAAGAAATAATAGCTTCCAATGTGGTGACACAATGTAGTCCACAGCCACTATTGCGTGTTCTAGTATAGTGTGAAAAGGTGTTTTTAAAATAGTCAATTTGTTTTAAAAAGTAAAATTGGGAAGGTCAAGCATTTTTACGCGAATATATTTGGTTTTTCTCTATACAAGTTTATTCTGTTAAGTACGTTGTTTGAAAAATGGCGGGTAACTATTCTTGCTTGAAATCTTTTGACGCACCTGAATAAATCAGTGACTTAACGACAAGTCAAGGGAAATAATAATCTTCGTTACACGAATAAATAGCCGACATTTTGAGATATCATCTGTGCATATCTTGATATGAATAATATACACTGTGTCAAGAGAATCAGCTATGTTAGGAATATGATGCATAAGATGTGCAATCTTAAAATCACGTCGCTTCAACAAAGCGATTGTCAGTTCAATTTTTAATACGGAAATACCGTGACTAAATGTTGCTTCAGAAAGATGCTTGACACTCGTGAATTTCTGTCTGGAATAACAACGGGAATAATTAACCCAAATTAGATGAGGTATTTCGCAAACGTATTTTATTGCTAACCTTGAAAGATAATCGATCAACAATTGCGCCCCAAATGACACGGCCACCAGCATTGAATAGTGAAGACACTGTAGCCACAGCAGATAAATAGTTGTCGTCATCGATATACTTTTGACCGAACAGCTAGGTTTAAGAAAAATAATTTCTGCAGTTAACAATTTATCCACTGCTAACAAAAAGGCCAGATGAATTCGAAAACTATGGGTTACAAGCTTCAGAATTTTAAAATATGAGCACATATCTCCTAAGGTTTATGATAAACATCGAGGTATATATATATATATATATATATATATATATAAATATATATATATATATATATGTTTTCCAAAAACTTCTGTTTTCCAACCAAATATTAGTATCATTTTGATTATCTGAGATAGCTGTGGTTTAGCAAACTTGTATTAGTATTTGGTGGTGATTGAAGGTGAAATGAAGATTTGACCCGCTATGAGATTCGAACTAGTGACCACCTGGTGTTCGGCGCAAATTTTTATTTCACTTTCGATCATCACCCAGTATAAATATTAGTAGCCTAAACATCACTCGGATGCTTCGATGATTCTCAATGCAGCATATAACAAGTGAGGACCAGATGATTTATTTCAAAAGGCTACGGTATTCAACTGTGAAGTAAAATATTTTCCTCGATTATTCATGGCAAACTACTCAATAATTCGGTCTAGTGTTCAGTGATCGTAGAAAACTCACAAATCCACTGTGAATCCTGATGCACAGTAAAACTGAATTCCAGCAGAGACGAAGTTTGTTCTAAATTTTCCAGCCCTGCACTAGGTGTTTCTTCAGACATCCTTGAAATATATAACATTCTTTGAACAGTGGAAAGTGCTCACAGGACTGATTCATATAGACCTCTTCAAACAATCCCTGGCGATGCATCTAACGGACGTTAAGTTGTTAGTTCCATGTCTATTGTGACAACTGCTATCAGATATTATGATTAAATACTAGATTAGGAGGGGGAAAGGACTTCAACCACTTCGGATTCGGCATGTACTAAGGGTATATGGTCGGGATAATTTAAAAGTACCACTGACATGCAAAACATTGTCGTGCCCACATATTTGCCAGCACGTACATCAAAAAATGAAGTCAAAATGCACCCAATGATATTTATATTTTTTTCCACTATATACGTAGCTGTAAGCAACTCACTTTGTAAACCGATGTTATTATCGTGATGGGTATAATATCACAGAACATCACAATCCATAAGAGATAAAAGTCTATGTGCCGGAATAGTTTTTTAGCTGGAACATTTAAATCACTGGAAAGTAGAATTAACAACAGGAAATTTATGATGATTTTTATATACAAAATATCAAAATGGCATTTCAAAAAACACACATTAGAGTCATACTCAATCGAGTAACATGTCCATACTTAGAAGTACTGAAAAGTAAATTTATTCATTTTTCGGAAGTAAGCATAACACATAAGAGGTCGACACTGGTCTCACTGCAGCTGTCATTATCATTTCATGTGAATCACACACTCACTATATCAAAAGCAGGACCGATGTCTTTTTGGCTACCGAGTCATGAAAACGGGAATCATTTGTTACATATTGTAAATTCTACTTCCTGTTGGGTCTAAGAAGCAATAATGCCTAGACTGGAAGGTACGTTATTGCCACTGATCAAACGAAAACTTAGGGTCCGATATGCGGATGACACGTTTGTCATTATTAAAAGAAACAAACTGAAAAACACTAAAAAGTTAATTAACAGCATTTTGACGACATTTGATTCATAATTGAAGAGAAATCCTACTTCTCCGTTGATTACTATAACCGACCGAATTGACCACTCTCTGTTGAGATGTTACCCAACGCTTTCCATAAAAGTTCTCAACATCCTACAGCAGACACTCAAGTAATTGATGAGTACACTGTTGCAGCGTTATTGTGGCATTATTTTGAAACAGACAGTCAAATGCGTAGGGGTTGATGAAACCAATAGCACTAAAAAAACACCTGTAGCAGACCTTAACGTGTAAAAATAGCTGATAAATTCTTAGAGAGTAATGTTAGCGTTTTAGAATCTCTAGAGGTCCATGTCAAGGCCTATTTATAGTACTAGTCTATAAAGCCATTGACTGGTGATATGTGCCATCAAAAGAGGTGTGGGCTACTTGAATGTAATCATCAAGATACTTTGTACCAAACTACTTCAGAATCCATCAAAGAAGGATAACTGCAATGATTTTAAAATTTGTACTGGTTATGTCTTCTTGTGTAATATTGAAGAGTAGTGACTCAGACAGATGCATGTTTGTGCGACTCCTGACGATGAAGAAGCCAACTAATTGGGAGAAGCTGAAAATATGAAAAGCTGGAACAAATAGCAATGTCAATTTTCAGAGCCTTAGGAAAACGTTAATTCAGCCAACTATATAGAACCTTTAAATTGGCAGAATCACGTAGAATAAAAGCACAAATCCATAGCGTAGCGACAGGTCTCTAGTGTTAGTAATACTTACATTCTTGTTTCCTCTTCTGTAAATTCTCTCTAAGAAAATTATCATGAGTTTTAAAGAAATATACATTGTGTATTATCAATATCACTATGATATTCACTCGATAGAAGCAGTTTGCCTTCTTAACTATCTGTCAACCGGTGGTCAAGATAAATATAAAGCGAATGATAGTGAATCTCACCACAAGGTAACTTTAAAATATTGATTATTATCATTGATTATCACATGCAATATGATTTGATGAGGTTGCTCTTTTCCTTTAAAATCATGAAGTGTATATGTCGCCTAAGTGATACATTCTGAAGAAAACCGATATTCTTCGCTACACTGATTTCAGTTTCTGTTCTTAGTAAGAAAGTATCTCAATATGGTTACCTAACTTTATTTAATGATCATTAGGAATAAAAGTTTCTTTTCTAGATATATAGATGTGATAGTCAATCGTTTCAGCTTTTCTTTAGCAGGTATACTTATATAGTTTCAATAAGTTTAAATGATAAATTTCATCTAAATTGGATAATCAATTCGCAAATTATTTATGGATCACAGTCAAAAACCATTTCACTCATTAGCTTTCCAGTTCATGAGCAGTTTACTCCAGCAAGTTCAGCTCATAGCAAAAGTGAATTGCTAAAATTAACTAGGTCAGGCTAACTGACTTGAATAGACCATTGAATAATATACTGCATAATCAACTTGCACACTATTTAAAAACTGCGCTGCCTGTGTTGATACTGTCAACAGCAGAGAAGCTTTTTAACCACCTGTTTGGTCTCCAAAGGGTTGTCATCTTAAACCACTCAGCCAAGATTAGAAACGACAATCTCCGATTTTTATCTAGAGGTAACACTGAACGAGTAAAGTAGCAATCAGCTGCTTGGGTCACTCAGGGTAGCAAAATTTGCAGATAAGTATAAATGGTTTTTAGCCACTCACGTTTTTCAGTAAAATAAGATGACAGTAGAACTTTAGTCTTCAGATGCTATAAAGTTTCTGTAAACCCATAACTGACCAATTTAAATTAATCTGGATCTGATTTTTAACATCTCAGATACAAATTATATTAGACTTTGCACTAGACCATGATACAATGAAACTAAGAGTTTTATAAAAATCCTCTCAAAAATGGGCGTGTTTGACCATTACGACAGTACTCCCATCCAAGCTGTCTTACGTAAAAAGCATAAATCAACAAGACTCAGAAATGAATATTTTCCAAGTTTTCCTTAAATAGGTTCAGTAAAATGTTTTGCCCTATACTTGTATTAACCCGAATCACGTGGGTTACACATTACAAACCTATAAGTACATTCCAAATTCCTTAAAAAGTTTCCTTCGACGAATGGTTTCTAACAACGAACAGTTTCATCTACTAAATTGTGAAAATACTTATTTGACGAAGAATAATAACAGCCTGATTCCTCTAACCATAGTGTGTAAAGAAGCATGTAAATTTATAATCCGCTAGACTGAAGTGTTAAGCTGTTAACCTAAATTTCATATATCGAAATAACATCCAATAATTATGCTGCAAGGTACTAGTATTTTCAAGCTACTTTTTAGACAATATGCTGCTTGTAAACTATTTTTGATTACTAGTCATAAACTAACATTTTTGACAGGTGATGACAGCCGCAGAAACAGGTCTATTTCATTATATATATATAATAATCAAGGTTTGTACAGTATTTAGCAAACTTACAATTACAGCATTATGATCAGAATTGCTTTGATTCCGTACGGTCATTTCTAACTGTGAATTCTGCGCCTTGTCAAAGAAAAATTATGGACTCACTCAAATACACAAAATTTTTGAAAGATAAAACGTACATTAGGTAGTATTAAAGCACAAAAGAATATGTTTACGTAGCAATACAAGGCAAGAGACATCAAATTCTAAAGCAGTGTTATTTAGGATTTTAAAGCAAACGTTTTGTATCACTGAGGGTGAATGTTGTTTGTTGTAAAGTGCATTATATTTGTACATGATGTTAGCTTGCCACACTTTATTTAACCTAGTGGGCTATGTAGAAGCAAGCCAACTGGTGGTTTTGCTTGGTGATTCCCGATCATACTTCTAGGCTTCAATTTCATTTAAATATGACAATATTTTCATAGAAGGTTGGGTTATAAATTCTCTCCAAAGTTTCACTTCGTTCTTATCAAGAAATTAGCAAACGGCATTTGAATGCGCACACGATACGAAATCAACTACTAATTATTCACTGATTTCAACAGTTTCAGATTGGCTGTTGACAAATAAACATTCAAAGCTAATGCAGTAATTATGCAGATACAGTTTCCTAATATAATAAAGCACACATTGTAAAAAAATGTAATGTGAGTACTTAGATAAATATAACAAATGGAAACAGATATTCTTGAAGTTTTACATAAACGCAAAGCCATTATTAAACGATAGGCTTTCTAAAGTGGTCATCTATGCTTATCTTTTGTAACAGAATGATCAACTTCGAAAACTGTTTAACAAAACACCCATGTTAAGCTGAAGTTGATTATCGTATTCTGAAAACAAATTTTCAGTAGTAATCAGTATCTGTCCTGATAATAAACTCACATTCTGTGTTGGTTTTGAACGTAGCATAATAAAGCCAACAATGTGTATAACAAGAACGATTCCACCGAGAATCAAAAATGATACTGGAACTCGATCTAGAACATCAGGGTGGTTAAACTGCCTTGAAAGAATAAAGGATAGAACACAATACAAAACTTTGAAAGTGAAAACCACACATATAATTTAATCTCTTTTGAGACCAATAGGCGTATTCAAAGGTCAACAGTAACTACAGATACCATATCGTGAAATATCATTGCTAAAACAATGTTACAATGCTATCAGATACCGATTTTCGAATACAAAGCAGTTAATTAGTCCATTCTTACTAAAAGATTTTATCAAGCTAACAAAAATTTCACGCGCTCACTTTTGGAGTGTCAGAAAAAGACCATTAAAATGTGTAACCATAATATACTGAGCTAACTTCAATTATAGTGAAGTCATAAACTGTGCAGTCAAAGATAAGTCTCTACCAATGAACTGAATAATTGACGAGTTCGTTTAAAGTAGCTGCCAGAAAAATTGAAGAAAAGTTCGTGATCAATGTTATTTGATAGAAAATTAGCAATAAACACGATCCTTTAATAATCACAAAAGTCAAAAAACGTAAAAAAGTACTGACTTGATTCAGAAGCACTCCTACTACATTACGTTAAAAGACAGTAGAAACCTGATGTAAAGTTACAAATGTGTTAATTTTATAGCATTCTCTTACAAAACAAATTGTAGTGCAACTTAAGGGGCAGGATATGTACTTCAAAACAAAAGTAAGTCAAAAACATTAATGTAAGAGTAGAACTTAAGCACTGTTGGTGTATTATTCTATATATTAGATTGTTTATTTGATATTTCATACGATGGGAAATTTTTGTCTTGATGGATGACTGTGTTGGATAGTTGCGTGTGACTGCATGCATCTACACAAAAAGATAGGATACACTGACAGTCTTTGAAACTAACCTAAGTGGGTGGAGGGAGAGATTGATAACTAAAACTTTGTTTATCGAACCAGCATAGAACACATACGTTGGGAATGAGTTAACATGTATTTCAGATATTTCGAAAATTCTATTACCTATACGAAAAATGAAGGGCGAGGAGAAATCGCACTATCAAAACAGGATGTGAACGTATGCAGCTACCTTTCTAAAGAACCTGAAAAAAAATCCTGTTCGAAACTTCTTTTAGGAAAATAATACTGTTTCATTGTGTGCAATATTTTTTAAAAACGATATAATGCTGGACTGAGACAAACCGTTCAGAAAACAAACAATAATACAGCTTTCGGAGAAAAAATATTTGGTGAAACCGCATTAATTTCTAATGGGTTTCGTCTGTTAAACGTCACTATTTTCAAAAGGCTGAGTAAGAACTGAAGCAAGACTACCAGTGACTAGGGCTTTAATCTCCTTAAACAACTCAAAACTCATGGGTTGAATGATTCTCCCGACCAACTTATCGCAATAAAACAGGAGTTAGCATCATATGTTACTGGGTTTTTAACTTCATTAAGAAGCTACATGTATCTTAGTTTTCTAACCTATTATGGACAACAGTTGCCGTTTGCTTGGTATAAAATTAATCGAAAAGTACACCTGAAACCGATCCTCGTAAGTATGACTCAGTGCACTACACAACAGCATCCCTAAAGGTCAAAATATCTGTTTATGAATGAATCTTATTATTAAGTGCATCGTATATCCAAAGAAGGCGAGGAGTAGAAGTTCATTCAGAATAACCTGCACAGTGCGGTAAGACGTTTTTTATAAACAGAAACAATACTGTGTACACTCAAGCACAGCATAGTAACATGAACGTCACGATAGAGGTCAGAAGTGCTTGTGTCACTATGGTTTTCACTATGTACGTTTCTGGTTTTTGGAACTATGCTCAAATAACACACTAAACTACTAGGTTTTATTTATTCTTTGAATGTTTCCAAGTCATTAATACCTTACAAAACATTTCTGAAATACAACAGGACTAATCTGAGCGCTAACCACCAAGTAACTTATTATAGTCTGCAGGGTTTGTATGATAAAATCTACCTGCTCAAGACCAACATATTATGCTTCAATGATACAGCACAATTCATTATTGCTATAACCAATGGTGCGATTTTGAGATATGGTTAGACCAATCAACCACATGGAGCTCAGGTGTTAATCAGAGGCAAAAATAAAGCACAAAACACCATGTATTCTCCCAAATGGCATTACGAAAAACCGTGATAAAATTAGCCAGCTATTTTTATGAGAAATCATATTTCTTCCTAATACTTGCCTAAATATAACTATTAAAACAGATTTTACTGTGGATTTTGAGAGTTTTAAATGAGGGCGGTATGGAAACATTGAAGTAACATTCAAAATGAGTAACCCACTAGAATACTGCTTCACTAATAAGTCATGATAGCATCTTTCAATGTGAGCTACTTGCGTTTATGCCAGATAGCAGAGTAAACAAATGACGATTCAGTTAAACCCATAGTGTACAGAAAACAGAATTTATGTTCAGATGAGTCATTTAAAACATGTGGGATTCTAATTGTTATACTGTCGTTATTTCTGAAAAACTTGTGATGCTTTCAAACTTGAAAGAACATAGTCAATGGTGTGTGAGACGTTATTTGAGTGACTCATTTAAGACTGATTATTATGACCGTAAATTGTTGATTAGCACCAACTTATTATTCCAAGCTATGAGCAACATATGCTACTCATCATTTACTTTCATGAAATACTTAAACGTGAATACTTCATTGGTTTGGAAATAGATTTTACAAACTTCGCTAGGTATAGTGCCTTTATATATGTACATTAAGAGAAGATTTTCGTTTCTGAAGTCATACGGGTAAATAACACAACAACCAAAAGTTGACATGAGTTACACAGCGGAGACTTAGAAACGAAACAATGGATAGCTTTTAATAATAGTCATTTGTTGAAATAACGACAAACAGCCATTAAATGGTTGAGTTTTCTTTCCCTTTTATACGTATACATTAACAAACCTCATTCAGGAGTGAAAAGATTGTTTTTGTTTTACACCAATGGTCCCATTAGGAACTATTTCGAAACAACACCTAACTTTTAAACACTTAGTCGTGTTCTGATGTCATTACAACTCAAATTAGGATGATATCTGCATTTTCATCGCCCTTATCTGAGACAAATAATTTTCTTCAACAGTTCGGTACCATAGAAAGAAGTAAATTATTCCCCGTTTCTTAACAATGAGAATTCCATTGCATTTTTTAGACAAATGAATTAAGTGGGAGGAGAACACTCCTGTGAATCTCATATGAATTTAACCTACTGAAAAGATTTTATTATGTATCTAGGATAAAATAACTATCTGTACGATTCTTGGAGTTTTTAGACTTCAATTATTTCATATTTACTGGTCTGAAAACTTTTTAAGGTATATAAGTAAAACAAATTTCAAGCCTTCCGTTTAAAAAATATGCCACTGAATAGATATTCTAACACGTACAATTTGGTGATGATGAGGTGACCGAAAATTCCCACCTATTTCTAATCTGTAATTATTGATTTATGCCATTTTTGACTTTCATCTCATGAATTTCACAACAGTGAATTATCCAGTGCAAAAGGGTTCAATCACCTTCAAACTGTAACTTTCACAACGAATAATATATGGAGCAATTTAGGAAGTTTCAGAGATGTTCTTACCACAATCACTTACCAACCTCTGACTTATTGAAAAATGAATACTATTGGATAACCGTTTCATTTCCATTTCTACACGTTATTATATCATTGAGCGGAAAAACATATGACCAAACTTTATTCTTTTTGTAAAAGAAACCGTAGTGATTAAGAATAAGCATATATAACACATAAAAATAATAGATGAGTGACTATCCTTTATATGGTCCAATAAGTATCACATTCATAAAGCTTGTATTCTTACGCACCATGACCCTTCCTGTAGCAGTAGCAAGCATTTATTATCAAAACTGATACAACTTTTCGTTTCAAAGAAAAATCAGACTGATATACATAAAGGGTCAGCACTTAGAAAATCAACAGTAATAGAAGTGTCTCAGCTGAGCATCAACATGTGACATACACGTTAAAAATTTAATCTCGTTCTAATCACTTTGTGAAAGCCATGAATACGTTAGTATCCTAAATTAAAGCAGTGAGTCATTTATACAGTGAATCCTATTTTAGACATTTTGATGTTGCAATCTCTTAGTATTTCAAGAAATCAGCATGTGCTTTGACCTAAACTGTATCTTTAACGAAAGTTATGCTATTAGTTACAGTGATTTAACCGATAATAAACTCAGATAGCTCTTCAATTACCTAGTTAAATCAGAGAAAAAAAGTGTCATTACCTGGTTATATTGTCAACAGGGATATTTCCTGGGTTGATAAGTGCTGTTTCAATCGGAGTGAAGACCACCGCACCTAAGCCAAAACCACCAACAACGAGGCCAACCACTAGACCGCGGCGTTCCGGAAACCACTTTTAGTCAATGATAAAATAATGATAACCAAATTAAACGAAACATCGAAACCTTGATAAATGTTTCAATGCATCAAGTTTGAAAACTTTCTGAGTTGTGAATTTATATCTATGAAATTTTAGATAACTTTTAATCTATCTACTACAAAGAATCAATCTTATTATAGATTAAACACTTTCTGCATCTGTACCCTTGGATTTTTCACAAAAATGATTACTGTAACTTGAAGGTAGTCATTATAAAAAAAAACCGTGAGTAAATTTACTGCTTACTCATGGTTTTGCAATAACGTATAGTCCAAAACTGATCGTTTATGTTGCTGAAGATTCGATGAAAGAATAATGTTAACACTATGTTTGACAGAATTTATGTGTGTAGTCAAATGAACTGACATTTTTTACTTTCCTTGAAACCGTAATACACGTTTAGCAAAATCCAAAAGCAACAAAATGCTTTTTTGCTACTTTCGACAGACGTATGAGTGACCTAGTATAGATTTTTTGGATGACCATAAACTCCTATTGTTACACATGAGTTACCAAGATATACAACGAATCTCTTTGTAGCCGCAAAATGGAATTCTAAAACTAAACAAATAAAAAGCTTAAATCACGTTATACGTCATTTAATTTAAGTGAAACGCTTATTTAAAAAAACCTGTTTACTTTTGCGTTAGCACTGAATAATGACCTCTTACCGTTGAGGCTACAGCTAAAACCACAGAATAGCCGAAACCCAAACCCAAGCCTTGCAGCACAGCGTATGTAATTACAACACCAGGAAAAGATCTCTGAATCGTGAAATACGTCAACAGAATACTTGCGCTGAAAGAAGAAGTTAATTAAAACTTGATTACTTTAATTCACATACCTCAGTAGTAAATAAATAAACATACCATTTTATTAAGATAGGTACAATTATAAAATTCCAAAGGCAGAAACTTTTACGAAGGCAATATACAACATTATTATTTATTCGTTAAAAAACTGATCACATGTGCAAGACAGGACAGCACAGCAGTCGCTTATTAAAGGCATTTATACCTCGATAGTTGTAATATAAAGATCTATGAAAATAGGAGCGATAACACATTTATAACATATCACTTTGAGTCCAGAGGTAGGATCTCACACAAAAAGCTGGGGTTTTCAATTAATTGAAACGATATAAACACAAGCAAAATTTAACTTGTAAAATAACTGAGCAGTAAAAACTAGTTAAACAATTCACGATGAAACCTATGTAATTAAGATAGGGGGAACTTAATTGTAATATTTGGCTTTCAAACTGTTTGAAGCACACAGCAATACCTAGATATAAGAATGTACGTTCATAGGAAGTCAGTCGGAAACGTAACTGAACCTAAGAATTTATCTTATTATTTTGATTTCCTACAACATCTGCCAAAAAGGACTATGCTACCTTGATTTGTTTTTACTCCACCAAATCAAAATTATTTGTCCCAATTTTTTTGGCTTCGCTGGTTTACCACTGCTTAAATGTCAAAAAAAAAAGATTTTGAATTCACAAAAAACCTCACTGACATAAGCCATGTGAGACTGGAATGATTATTTAACATGAAATATAAGTTTACCTGTCAAGTAAACAGCTGATTGCTACAACTAAACGAAAACCAAATTTCTTTTCAGTAATTCCACCTAAAGACATCGACACACCTTGCATTGCAAGAGTAAGAGCAGATAACCATATTGATGCTGTAGGTGGCAAGTTAGGATCAACACGAGCTATACTGTAGCCCATTATATAAGGTACCATATTAGCTGAAAATACATAGTTACAGTTACAACTTACCAGTACTGTAAAAGAACCCGAAACCAAAATGAATTAGAATACCTCCTACCACAGAAATACATCCAAAAATCAAATTTCGGGTTGTTTCTTTCTAAATTTTGGTCTAACCAAGCTGCTTTTCTTTTTACTAACCATCAACATTAGACAATTGTAAACTTGTAAGCACACTAGTCCAAACTTGAAATTGCTCCTTCAAACGTAAACCTGAATGTCGTTACATACATATGACTAAACGCGGTCATACTTACATTCAACATTCAAAATCCTAGAAGTCTTGAAAGCAAACTGATTACTTGGTGAATCCAGAGTTAATAATTCGGTGTTTCTTTCTTTTTGTTTGGTAGCATTTTCACAGTTCGAGCAGATTTTCTTGCTTTTCGAAGATTAGCTTCTTAAGTTGCCTATTTCAGTGGTGGTTTTGTTACTTTGAAATTCCAAAATCGTTAGTTGACCTGTCTCTAAGGCTGCTTGCTAGGTCTACGGTCTTAATGTAATTGCTCTCTGTACCAACAGGCCAAATGTTAGATTTCATTTAAAATTATAAAAAGCAATAAACCAGGGTTAGTAAGGTTTATGCAATAAAGACAATTTCTCATCTTCCAATATCCAATATCTTTTTAACGAGCTTGTGTAAGCCAGCTGATTTCTTCTTGCTCGCTTCTCGATCTTTCAGAACGGTCCCAGTGCAGTAGATTCAGCCACTCGTCTGCTACACCTCTGGTTTGCAGAACAGGAAGTTAGATGTTGGTTTGTTTGCCTCGGACTGTGGTGCGGTTGGCTTCTTCCGATGTCGAGTTGCCAGACAGTTGTTCAGACTGGTCTCTGGAGAGGGTTGGGGATAGTGAAAAGAGAACCCGCAAAAGTGTTTGTGTGTGTAAAAGGGGAAAAGATAGTGAACTAATGGAGTAACCAACTTACACTAAGTAAGGCGAGGGGGGTTGCAAAGGTATGAGGAACTTAGATAAGTGGGGCTAACTCATGGCAAGTGGAAGGGACGAGAAGGACTTAAACGGTTACAGTAGTAATAAAACCGGTTGTAAAATTAAAATAGTTGGGGCGGCTTGACCTCAGCTCGTGTTCCAGCAACATGTGAGTAGACCATGGGTCTCTGCATGACTGTCTAGCCTCTTCTTGAAGCTTTCGATAGTTGGGGCGGAGAACACCCCTGCCGGTAGTGCTTTTCAGTACCCGCAGACTTGGAGGGAGGAGAATTGTGAACACACATGACCTTTTGGCGATTGTCGGGCCATTCTCCTGGGGTCTACTCGAGGATCTCCATGGTAGCCACTCGGTAGTATTCCTCTGTTCGGGTGACTTGTGCTATCCAGCATTTTGTAAGGCATCATCAAGTCACCTCGTGACCTTTGGTAGCTAAGAGAGTGTGGGTCCGGGTCTTTCAGTCTATTGTGATAAGGTTTTCGCTGCATCCCAACAACCCCTTTTGTGGCTAGCCTCTAGACCTTCTTCAGTAGGTTAGTGCCACTTTTCGATGGGGTGGAGCGAGGTCCTTACGGACCGCTAAGTGGGGCCGTATGTACAGCTTGAAAAAGAGCTCCGGGGTGAGGGCACTCAGTTTTCTACGCACAAAGTGTAGCACATCACATGCTTTTAAGGTATCACCTGAGTAATCGGAACTGGTGTCCAATTTCTCCGTCACATATAAAACCCGGGCCTTTCTCTGCTGTGGTATGGGATAGAAGTGGACCACGGAGACAGTAGGATACTTTCTGGGGATCAAAAGTGGGGAAAAACATGGGCCGGCACTACACTTGTGAAAACAAGATGTTACGCTTCAAATTACACTCGGCCGTTTGCAGTCGCTCTGCATGCACATCGATGCTTCTCGGATCGAGCATGACTCTGCTTTAGAAGAGCCAGCGCTTAGGATAGTTGTCATTGCAAAGACAAGAGCCTTGATTTAGTCATATTTGAGATTTTTTGGGGTTGGGTTCCTTTCTTTGCCCAGTGTGACAGTGACGGAAGGTGAAGTCTTTGACCATCGGTCTATTCATTCGTTTCTCCTGACTGGCCTTAGCTAACACCGGGAACACCCGATTGGTCTAACCGCTTGTTTTCCAACACATTGTTCCAGACTCCATGTGCACCAAGCAGTCCCGTGCGCATTTCACGACCAACACTTGGCAGTCTGGCTGCAGGGATGACGCGATAATGGATTGCTGGAAGTATTCTCGCACTTCTTAAGACACTTGGGCCATCGGGCAAAACTCTAGTCGCTAACCAATGACATTGGTGAAAGTCATGAAGTTAGTGCTTGTCGTGTATGAACCACCCAACTATAACTATTATTTCATGAACACCGACGGCAGAGGCAATACGGGGATCGCTCTAGGTGGTTTTTCTATTCTTCCGCACTAGAGACCATGTTTTCTTTGGCACAGTCATACTGTGAGGTAAGCTACCGGAATGGGAATGCTAAGGGCAGATGAATCTATTTTAGGCCTTGGTGGCGTTGTTTTCTCTCGGCTGTACACAACTTAGCGAAAAATATCCTCCTGAGCTACAACTACTCCCCATCATCACATTTTTGGCATGTTCTGATTATGACCTATCTTCATTGCTTTCCTGCAACCTAATAGCCAATAAAGTTCTTCGGGGGTTATTGGTATTTACACAGCTCGGCATCATTGTCCACACACAATTGCATCGCTTTCTGTCATTTCTTATACACAGCTACGCAGGATGGAGATATGTAGCAGGATAATAGATTTCGCCTTCGTATCTCCGATATCCCTAACTGACACTGTATTCGACTTGTCGCCGACCTTAGTTTTCGTCTTTTTTTCGCTGATAGCCAGTTCAGTCAGTGTCTTCCTAAATACAGGCAATTCCACCACCGTAGGTCCACCTGTGGCATCTATGTCACTACGTCTAGCCTCTGATAAACTCAAAACGACGAGAAGCTAATTCGACCACGTGCTGGGACTGGGCATTATCGAACCTTCAAGCAGTCCTTGCGCATCACCTCTGCATTTAGTTCCCAAAAAGGATAGCAACGACTGGCATCCAGTCGGGGGTTACCGATGACTTAACGCGAAAACAACACCAGGCTGCCACCCATTACCTGACAACAACATTATACGGGTTGAACACATGCTTTAAAATCGATCCGGTCAAAGAGTACAATCAGACGCCTATGGCGGCAGAGGATATCGTGTAAACAGCCATTTTAGCCCCCTTTGGCTTATATGAATTCCTATGCACGTCGTTTGTTAACCAGAATGCAACGTGAACATTCCAACTCTTTGTGGATGATATTTTCCTGGCTTTGGACTTTGTCCATAACTAAACCTATGACTGTCTCAATTTAAGTCCAGCTGTGGTAACTCACCACGAACACTTGGATCTCGCATTCAGTAGGCTGAGAAAACATGACATCACAGCCAACTTGCGGAAGTGTGAAATGGGAGCTAAATCACTCAGCTTGACAGATGAAGTGGCGGTTATCATGAACTATGCAGGACTGACCATTGCGACACACAGTGCATACTCCATGGCCTGGTAGGTTATCACCGATGGTTTATCCCCAACCGTGCCTCTGTCATGATATCACTCAAAGATCTACTTCAAGGGACAGTGTAGCTAAACCTGCTTTCCCCACAGACAAGGAAGCCACTTCGAATGCAACCATGTTTATGCATCACGACCCCAAAGCTCCCTTGGGTATGGCTGCTGATGTGTCTGACCCAACAACAGGAGTATTTTTGCAACAGATGACCGGCAACCGGTGGCGACGGTCAACCTTTTTCTCGAGGTGGCGGCAGGGGGTAAAAACAAGGTACAATTCATTTGGCAGGAAACTCTTAGCTATATACTGTTCCGTGCACCATTTTTGACATTTGGCTGAACGTAGTGGACCCATCATTTTCGCAGACCACGGACGGTCAACTTTCTCTCCTGGTTCAGTATCTGATAAGTACTTCCCACGTGAGTCGTGACGACCGGATTACATCTCCCAGTTCACGTCAGATACCTGCCACGTATCTGAAGCAAGTAACTACGTAGCCGACGCATTGTCTTGAGAAGCTTCGACAGGCCGTATCGAAGGTGTTGTTCTTGTTGAATTGGCTGGGTGTCAAGAAGAAAACCTGGAGCTGTAACATGAGCTGTCGTCCATAACCCCCAAGCTACGACTGTATCCAGTGGGAGCGGGTACAATGTCACGCAATGTCTCTGCTAGTCAGCCACAGCCAACAGTTTCGAAGAGATGTCAACGCAACGCCTTAGATATGCCGCGCAAACTATACCACTCTTGTTCACGGCCCCCATCAGGCTTATCGCACAGAGTCTCTGCTGCCCGGGAATGAACAAAGACATTGAAAGGTAGAGTCGGTCGTGCTTAGCTTATCAGTAGTGTAAAGTCATGCGATCCACGTAAGCCCGTTTAGGATACCCTCTAGCCCCAGACATTCGTTCCGACCACGTCTACATAGATATTGTGGGACCTCTACTAGAAACTAACGGATGCATTTACATTTTCACCTGCTTGGATCGGTCTACGAGATTCCAGAAGCGGCACCCATTGGGGACATTACTGCTGAAACTGTCACCCATGTTTTCGTGGAAAAATTGATCTCAAACTTTGGACGTCTATTTTGCGTAACACCTGGTCGTGAGCTCCGTTTCGAGTGTGGATCATTTCGCATTTTAACTGAGCTTTTAGGTTGCAACCAATTCCGAACGACTACCTACCGTCTACAAGCAAACGGCAGTGAAGAACACATCCATTGATGGCTGAAAGCTTCCCTTTCAGCTGCAAACATACCTCAGTGAATGGAGGCTCTGCCCTTAATCCTACTGGTTGTTTGTAACGGGTTGAAAGCTGATACTGGATGAAACTATGCAGAATCCGTCTATGGGACCACTGCATGCCTGCTAGGTGAGCTTGTTTCCCCTTCAACTTTCACACATGTTTTGACACAACATCATGGGTGACTAGGCTTGCAAACGCAATACGTTCAGTTAGGCCCACACCTGTTAGACCTCAAATAACTGATTTCTTCGTTCAGCCCGTATTATAGAAGACACTTCACGTGTTCATTCGTCGCGATGTTGTTCCTCTACCACTCGAACCACCTTACGATGGACCATTAAAAGTGATAAGGCGGCACGAGAAATTCCAT